GCATTGTTTTGGGCACTAGAGCTAAATAAGACACGGCCTCTGATATTTTAGTCATTGTAGTAGTAATTAAAAACAGTTGTAATTTAAAAGTTATTAATTTCAAAGGGAGTTAACAGGTCCCAAACATGCACTCAGCCTGGGGTCTGGTCATGCCTGAGAGACACTGAAGGCATGTCTGAGGCTGTCTGAGGCTGTCACGTATGCAGAGAAGTTTTACCATTGTTAGCCGGGCAGTTGATAGACTGTGTGCCCTTTTGGCTCTGTCTATGAAATACTGTTAAGGGGAATTGGATCTAAGCACCCTCTGAGAGCTATATTAACCTGACACCACTCTTCCTAGAATCCCTAGGATCGGGTTCTCCTTGCTATGCAGAAATCATCAGAATGAATTAAACATGTAATCGAAAGGCTTATTGTGTGCTACTTGAATGCTTTGCTGAACCAGAAATAAAGTGAAAATGAAATCGTTTCCTCTTTCAAATAAATATTGTATGCACCAGGCTTCTCTGGAGCCATTAGCACTGTGAGGCTGCACGGAGGTGACCGCTTTACACACAGCACACACAGATACTCAGCAAGTCCTGTAGCTTCAGGCAGAGAAGCACTGTACGATTCCCTACCCTTATTTCTCTACTTAGTAATTTTTGTTCCTCCCTTTCTAAAACCTACAGACAGTTTTTTTTTTGAGACTTCAGAGCAGGCAGTCATTTTTAAAGTCAGTTTATTTCTTGAGTATTTTGAGCGAGTCAAACCTAGCGTCATCTTGAGACCAGCGTGAGAATTCTGGTTCGGCTTGCAGGTTAGACCAGGCAGGCCTTGGGGATTCCATAAAACCACAAAGAGATTTCTGCTGAGAAAATTCTTGTCAGTGTGACAAGAAGGAGATGATCATTGTCTTTCCCTGGACATCTACAATGTATCATGAGCTTCACCACTTCTGATCTGGTAATTGGGGACCAATGACATTAAATAATTTTTTCAGTGCCAACTTGAACAAAGAAGAACCAGACTGGAAGCAGCTCTTTCTGATACTGGAACATCAGCTTTTCCACATATCACCCCAAATTTTTACTTTATTATCATATATATATATATGATTCAAATTCTCTGAGTATTTTTAGGTTGAAAAGTGTCGCACATCCCCACACACCAACCTCTTAAATCTAGGTGGCTTTGGGACTGCCTCAATGAATAGATAAGATATAAGCGACACCATGTGACTTTTGAATTAAATGTACACATGCTCTTCCTTGTTTACCAGAGCACTTGCTCCTGGACTTCTGAACCAACCACGACAGGAGTCTGAATGGGCAGATGTCACCCTACTGTGCAGAAACCCAGGACATATGGAGTGGCAGCTTGTGCAAGCACTGAGGTGACAGCTCTAGCTAACCACAGACTTTGAGACACCCCAGTTTATATACCAGACACTGGTCATAATGACAAGCTGCCGAGGGTTCTAGCCTTCAGTGCTTCATCTCCCCAGATGTGTGTCTCTTCCTATCAGACGTTCCAGACCAGGTCTTGGAGCACCCAGGGAGGCCATCCCTGTCCTGTATTCATTTCTGACTCCTGAATACTGAGCTTAATACAATTCTTATTTTTTTCTGCCACTAAATTTGCAGTGACTTGTTATGTAACAGTATTTTGTAAAGTTGGGAAGTCTTTTTGTTGTCTTAACTACTTTCTGTCTCGTTGTTGGAATCCCACCTACTTCCCCTGCGTCTCTTCCTCCGTCCCCACCCACCCTCTGGGGATTGAACATCAGATCTGATATATGTAGGCAAGCATTCTGCAATTGAACTACTTTTAGTCTCTTAGCCGGAATCTCAGCCATTTATAGTAGAGAGGCTCCACACACTGGGCACAAAGCATACTAAATCGGGAATTCAGAAGAATTTTGTTCGATTTTCAAAGTTGTGCGTTCTAACAATGTAAATTTTCTGCAAAACTCAAATCTTCAGCTTATCTTACAGTAAGCCTCCTTCTTGTAAGGTAAGTCCTGTTTCTGAGCATTGACAGCCTCTGTGTGGGTCTCTGATGCCCAGTGTGAGTATTTACCTACAGCACAATGGCTTACCTTGCCGATACTCTGCATGGCTTGCTCACCCTATATACTTTGTAAGCCTGAGAGGTAGATGATCCTACCACCTGTTCTGAGCATTGAATTTCCTTCACCCCTTATTTATTTATTTATTTATTTTACATCCTAACCCAAAGCTTCTCCTCCTTCAACTCTTCCCAGTCTCCCACCCACCCACCTACCCTTCCCTAACCCCATCCACTCCTCCTCTACTGTTTCTCTTCAGATACAGGTGAGCATTCTATGGACATCAGTCAGTCATGGTATATCAAGCTGCAGTGAGATCAGACATCCCCTTATTTATTTATTTATTTATTTATTTATTTATTTATTTATTTTACATCCTAACCCAAAGCTTCTCCTCCTTCAACTCTTCCCAGTCTCCCACCCACCCACCTACCCTTCCCTAACCCCATCCACTCCTCCTCTACTGTTTCTCTTCAGATACAGGTGAGCATTCTATGGACATCAGTCAGTCATGGTATATCAAGCTGCAGTGAGATCAGACATCCCCTCCTCTACTAAAGTCAGATGAGGCAATCTGGCAAGAGGAATAGGTCCCAACAGCAGGCAACAGAGTCAGAGAGTCTCACTGAACACTGAATTCTGAGTGTTAGACTTCTTGGCTGTTATGCTTTTAGCTTTGAAATTTCAAGTTTAGGTTGCATTTGTGTAATGTGTTTTGCATTTACAGTAATTATGCAATAACTAGAATACCTTTTAATACAAAAAGTGCAGTTTTAGGTGAGTATAAAAATCTCAAAACTTAACATATATATGTTTTTCTTAAACTAGTGGAAAACGACAGGAAAGACAGATGCATGATAATTCTATTTTACAACTGAGAACTTGTACCAACTCAGTTTTTTTCTTCTAGCTGTAGCTCTGTTTTTATTGATTTTATTGAGCTCTACATTTTTCTCTGCTCCCCTCCCTGCCTCTCCCCTCCCCTTAAGCCCTCCCCTATGGTCCGCATGCTCCCAATTTACTCAGGAGATTTTGTCTTTTTCTACTTCCTGTGTAGATTAGATCCATGTATCCATGTAATGTCTTAGGGTTCTCATTGTTGTCTAGGTTCTCTGGGATTGTGATTTGTAGGCTGGTTTTCTTTGCTTTATGTTTAAAAGCCACTTATGATTGAGTACATACGATAATTGTATTTCTGAGTCTGGGTTACCTCACTCAATATGATGTTTTCTAGCTCCATCCATTTGCTTGCAAAATTCATGATGTCGTTATTTTTTTTCTGCTGTATAGTACTCCATTTTTCTTATCCATTCTTCGGTTGAGGGACATTTAGGTTGTTTCCAGGTTCTGGCTATGACAAACAAAGTTGCTATGAACATAGTTGAGCACATGTCCTTGTGGCATGATTGAGCATCCTTTGGATATATACCAAAAGTGGTATTACTGGGTCTTGAGGTAGATTGTTTCCTAATCTTCTGAGAAATTACCACACTGACATCCAAAGGGGCTTTACCAGCTTGCACTCCCACCAGCAATGCAGGAGTGTTCCCTTTACCCCACAACCTCTCCAGCATAAGTTGTCATCAATGTTTTTGATCTTGGGCATTCTTATAGGTGTAAGATGGAATCTAAGAGTTGTTTAGATTTGCATTTCTCTGATAACTAAGAATGTTGACGATTTTATTAAGAGTCTTTCAGCCATTTTAGATTTCTCTATTGAGAGTTTTCTGTTTCGGTCTGTATACCATTTTTTTTATTGGATTATTTGTTCTTTTTTTTTTTTTTTGGTTTTTCGAGACAGGGTTTCTTTATGGTTTTGGAGCCTGTCCTGGAACTAACTCTTGTAGACCAGGCTGGTCTCGAACTCACAGAGATCCGCCTGTCTCTGCCTCCCGAGTGCTGGGATTAAAGGCGTGCGCCACCACCGCCCGGCTTATTTGTTCTTTTGATGACCAATTTCTTAAGTTCTTTGTATATTTTGGAGATCAGCCCTCTGTCTGATATGGGGTTAGTGAAGATCTTTTTCCATTCTGTAGGCTGCCCTTTTGTCTTATTGACATAACTGGATATCAACATGTAGAAGAATGAAAATAGATCCATATCTATCACCATGCACAAAGCTCAAGTCTCTCTTTGGTCAAGGCAGAGTGGACCCACTTATGTGGGCTCCTACAAGTGTTTATTACAGTCATAGAAAGGAAGCAAGGGTACCTGGGAAGAGGTGAGTGGGACTTCAGCCTTCTCTTTGACTTTTCCTGGCAACAAAGCGAACAATTTTGATTTTCCTGCACAGTCACCACAGGCCCCCAAAGAATCATGCCACCAAACCAAGTACTGAAAGCTCAAAAGTGATGACCCTAGAGAAATTTTGGCTCACTATTAAGGAAGTCTCAGAGATGGTCTGTAACAAGGTGATTTCATAGGTGCTTTCAGTCAATGCTAAATTGACCTGGATTACTGGCCTTCCCTCCCTTTCTCTCCTCTCCCCTCCCTTCCTCTTCTCTCCTCCC